AGCTAGCTAGCTAGCTAGCTAGCCAGCTAGGGATCCATAAGTCTGGCTAGCTGGCTCGCTAGGTCGTCAAAAAGCGCTCGTCTGAATCTGTGCATCTGCAGCTAGCTAGCTAGCTAGCTAGCTAGCTGGCTAGCTAGCTGACGGGATCGCATTCTCCAGATCCGTCCTCAGAACTGGTCCCTTCCAAAGCGTAAGTGCCGGCCCTCGAAGGGAGACAGTCGGAGACAGCAGAGCGGCGGGGGAGGGGATTGAAAGTGCCTGCGGGACAGGGGACAGCTTCGGAGACTCCGGAGGGACAGTAGTGGCCCGCGGGGCAGTCTTTGCTGCCGGAGAGGTCGCCTGGAGGCGCAAAAGGAGACCAAAAAAAGCCCGGAGGAGACACTTGGAGACGCAGAAGGGGGCGGGGGAGGGCGGGGCGGAGGGCCGCGAAAAAAGGAGACAGTTTGGAGACAAATTGGGGGAAAAACGCGAAAAAACGGCACTTTCGCGGAAAACGGGGAAACAGGGAAAAAGAGGGCAAACAGGGATTTGAAGGGGGAAAGGAGACAAATAAAGAGACAAGTGAGGAGACAAATGAGGAGACAGGTTCGGGGAGAGCTGGGGGCGAAAAAAGGGACAAAAAAGGAGAAAAAAGGAGAAAAAAGAGACAAAAAGGAGACAAAAAGGAGACACTTTTTACTCCAGCCCTCGCCGTCGCAGAGAGTCCCCGGGGCGCATTTGTAGCTGGAAAGCATTTCTGTGGTGGTGACTTCGAGGGGACAGTAGTGGCCCTGAAAAGGAGAAAAACGGGCCAAAAAGGGACAAAAAAGAGACAAAAAAGAGACAAAAAGGAGACAAAAAAGACCCTTTTAAAACCCTTTTAAGGTCCCCTTTTGCTCCCTTTTGTCCCCTTTGCTTTCGCCAATTTAAAGAACACAAAAAGCTTTCTTTTGCTGCGTGCAGTTCTTTCTTATTTGATATATATATATATCCATATATATATATATATACATACACACATATATATATACATATATGTGTATATATATATATATACATATATGTGTATTTTTATATATTTATGCATATTTATTATTTATAGAGATATATTTATATATATATATATATCAATGTGTATTAGATATTTATATATAAATATATATGTATGTATACACATGTATGTATTTATATGTACATATATATATCTATATATCTAGATGTATATATAAGTATATATATAATTAAAAGTATTTATTTTGAATAAAAAATGTGTCTTTTCAACTAAAAAGTATTTATTTTTGAATAAAAAGTGTCTCTTTTCAAAAAAAGTGTCTCCGTGAGTGCAAAAGAGTCTCTTTCGGCGAGTTTGGGGCCGTTTTTTCTGCTTTTTGGCCCATCTGAAGCTGCAGCTGCGGACCTTGGGACAGGGGCTGCATGCGCCGTCTCCTTCTTGCGAAGTTTTGCCTTTTCCGCACTTTTCTTTTTTTCCCGAAGAGCAGCTGTAGCCCGAGGGGCACTTTCTGCACATGGAGGGGTGGCTGCCGGGCCCGGGGGCCTGCGTCCCGTAGCCCTCGCTGTACGACCCTGCGCCAGCCATTTCGCAGTTTTTTATTCTTTTTTTATTCTTTTTTTCCCTTTTTCGAATTTTAAACCCTTTTAAACCCCTCCTTTCGATTCCCTGACCCTTTTTCTGAAATCCCCGCTTTCTCCTGATCATTTTGTGAGTTTTTTCGAGATTTTTTAACTTTTTTTCAAACTTTTGCGACCTTAGACTAGTTTGCTAGTTTGCATGTGGGGCTTGTTTATTAATTATATGCTAATTTCGATAAATAAATAAATAAATAAATAAATAAATAAATAAATAAGCATATAAATTAATAAATAAATAACTAATTAATAAAAAAAAAATTTAATTAATTCATTAATTCATTAAATACTTGAAATAAATAATTAATACTTCTCTTAAATAAGTAAATTACCAATTAATTATATAGTCGAAAACAGATCAGATGGATTTATGTGTATAATTAGTTAATAGGACTAGTCTGTTTATTAAACAATTAGTTAATTCATCCATTAATTAATTAATTAGTTGATTAATTGTTTGTTTAATTAATTAATTAGCTGATTAATTAATTGACGAATTATTTGTCAATTAGTTACTTTGTCAATTAGTTAATTAAATATTAATTAATTAGTTAATTACTTAATTGATTAGTTAATTGATTAAATATTAATTAACTAATTAGTTAATTAAGTAATTGATTGATTAAATATTAATTATTTAATAGGGTAATTACTTAGGAAATTAAGCAAACATTAATTAATTATTTGACCAATTAATTAATTGGTCAAATAATTGATTAATTAATTCATTAGCTAATTAGATCTTTAATTAAATTATTCAATAACTTGAACAATTAATTAATTTAATAACAACAAACTTTCACTTAGCTCAAATAAGTAGCTGGTAAAATAAATTAATTCGAATAAGCAAATAGTTAATCAACTCATTCAAATAATCAATTGATTGATTGATTAATTAAAATAATTAGTAAATTAATTGCTTTAATTGGTAAGTTTAATTGATTAGTTTAATTAATTGATCAATTAATACAGATAAGTTAAATAAGTTAGGATTTGATTCCTTTAATTAATTAACTAACTAATCAGTTTAAGTAATTAACTCAACCAGTTAATTACTTAATTAGTTCAATTAATTAAATCCATTAATTAATTCAAGTAATTAAATAATTCATTTAATTAATTAATTACTTAATTAATTGGTTTAATTACTTAATCAATTATGTGAATATTGCACTCCTGAATTAATGAGCTAATTAAAACATTAAATCAATAAATTGACTATTTTAATAAATTAAATAAAATTGTTTCGTACCAAAATAAGTTTAGTTAATTAATTTAAAAAATTAATTAATTGATTATTTAAATTATTTACTTTAAATTATTTTGACATTTATTAAATTAAATTCTCCAATTGGTAAGATTAAATTATTTCATTTAATTAAAAATAAAAAAGAAATCAAAAATGATAATTCTTTTGAGATTAAGGAACTAAAGGATTTAATCAAAGAAATAAGAAAATAAACAAACGACAAAATAAGGCTTTTTGAATTTAATTCAAGTTAGTGGATTAATGGATTAATTTTTTCTATAGCCTAAACCCTAAACCCTAAACCCTAAACCCTAAACCCTAAACCCTAAACCCTAAACCCTAAACCCTAAACCCTGAACCCCAAAACCCCGTTGCAAAAGTGCAGAAGCAAAAAAAGAAAAGCCGCCAAACACACCGCCTTCCACGAGACTCCTCCCAAACACTAAACCATAAACCCTAGACCCTAAACCCTAAACCTTAAACGCTAAACCCTAAACCCTAAACCCTAAACCCTAAACCCTAGACCCTAGAGATCTCACCTGGGGGACAGTCTTTTGGCTCAGCGGAACCCTGGGGACAGTACTTCCCCACGGGGCACGGCAAACACTCCACAACGTCCTGCAGCAAGCCCTAAACCCTAAACCCTAAACCCTAAACCCTAAACCTCCCAAACCCTACTCTGCACTCCCAACCCCGCAAGCCCAAACCCCTTCCCCAGCCCCAACCCCAACCCCCGCGCCCCAACGGCAAGCCCTAAACCCCAAACCCCAAACCCCAAACCCTAAACCCCTAAACCCCAAAACCCAAACCCTAAACCCCAAACCCCGAACCCCCACGCCCACCCCCAAACACCCCAAACCCCAAACCCTTCACCCTAAACCCTAAACCCTAAACCCTAAACCCTACAATGGCGTTTTTCTTGGGGTTGTAGGTGCCCCCCGGGCAGGCAAAGTGGAGGTGGCTTTGAGTCCCTTTGGGGCAATAAAAGCCAGAGGGACAATTTAGGGTTTTGGAAGAGCCTTGGGGACAGTAAAAGCCGGGGGGACAAAGGAGACACTCGCTGGAGTCTGCGAGGCCTAGGGTTTCGGAGTAAGTCCCCGCGGGACAGGGGCGCGCGAAACCCTCCGCAGTCCCTGCGCAAACCCTAAACCCTAAACCCTAAACCCTAAACCCTAAACCCGAGGCCCCAACCCTGCCAAGAACCAGCCTCTCACGTGCGCTGGTTCGCGAGCTATCCACAATCCGCTCTTCTCCACCTAAACCCTAAATCCTAAACCCTAAACCCTAAACCCTAAACCCTAGGGGACAGTAAAAGCCGGTGTGAATGATTGAGGATTCATGGTAAATGAGGAACTGTGCCTCCTAAACCCTAAACCCTATACTCTAAATCCCAAACTCTAAACCCTAAACCACAAATACTGAGTGATGAATAAACAACGATGAGTGATAAACACAGGGCAGTAAATCCTAAACCCTAGGCCCTCAACACTGAGCCTTAAACCCTAAACCCTAAGCCCTAAACGCGAAACCCCAAACGGAACATCTCTAAACCCTAAACCCTAAACCCTAAACCCTAAACCCTGGCTCGCAGCCCCTCACGAAGGTAGTGCAGGGGGCTAGACCGAGAGTCTTGAATCCTGTAGATCTTGAATCCTGTAGACCCTAAACCCTAAACCCTAAACCCTAATCCCTAAACCCTAAACCCTCACCGGTGGGACAGTAGTGGCCGACGGGGCACCTCAAAACCACGTTACCTTCGCTACGACACATCTGTAAAAAACGCAAACAACAAACCCTAAACCCTAAACCCTAAACCCTAAACCCTAAACCCTAAATCCTAAATCCTAAGCTTGAAGTCAACGCAACCTCCTCAAACCCGAAACCCCACACCCCAAGCCCCAAACCCCACACCCCAAACCCCAAACCCCACACCCCAAACCCCAAACCCTAAACCCTAAACCCTAAACCCTAAACCCTCACGGCTCGTTTGGGGCAGGGTTCGCAGTGAATGGCGGAAGTGCCCATTTGGTATCTGCTGAAGTATCCTTCGGAACATAAAATTTCTTTTCCATTCCAACTGTGCGGCACTAAAGAACTGTTTCTGAACTCCACAAACAAACACATAGCTAGCTAGCTAGCTGGCTAGCTAGCCAGCTAGCTAGCTGGCTGGCTGGGTGGCTAGCTGGGTGGCTGGCAGAGGGAAGGGGTGGGGCACTTCAGAAAGATAAAACAGACAAAGCAGCTGGCTAGCTAGCTAGCTAGCCAACTAGCTAGCTAGCTAGTCAACCAGCTAGTTGGTCAGCTAGCTAGCTAGCTAGCTAGCTAGCTGGTTGGAGAGCACAGAAGAGTCTCCCGAGTCTGAATAAGTAATATCTCAACCAAAATAAGATTATTAAAAAGAAAATAAAACAATTTTAAATAAAAAGATAATCCTAAATAAACGCGAAAGATTATTTTAAATATCACTTTAAATTGAAATAATATAATTTAAAAAAAAGATATATTTAAATAAAAAGAGAGTCATTTTGGAAGAAACGAAAAGCTCTTCAAGAAGAAACAGAAAACCCTGTTGGCCGTCTTTTGTAGAAGATCATTTAATCCAAAAAAGAATTATTTAAATTCAAAAAAGATCATTTTAGTCAAAAAAGAATTATTTAAATTCAAAAAGGATCATTTTAATCGGAAAAAGAATTATTCAAATTCAAAAAAGATCCTTTTAATCAAAAAAGATCATTTTAAGTAAAAGGAAGCCCATTTATTCCCAAAAAAAGATAATTTATTCCAAAAAAAGATAATTAGGTCCAAAAAAGGCTCTTTAAATTAAAAAAATGAAATTTTCGAAAATACCATTTAAATGAAAAAAAAGTTTTCATTGCAAAGAGGAAACTCTTATAAGCCTCTTTCATAGTAATTGTTCCCCGAAAATTATTTTTAAAAAAAGATCTTTTTCATATCAAAAAAAGATCCTTTTTAAATCAAAAAAAGGTCTTTTCTCGATTTAAAAAAGATAATTACGTTAAAAAAAGATAATTAAATCTCCAAAAGACTATTTTGAATGAAAAGAAAAGAAAAAAGAAAGTTTTATTTACAGGAAATCATTCTGAACCATTTCATGCAAAACGATCATTTTCAATCAAAATAAAGTCATTTTTAATCAAAATAAAGTCATTTTTAATCAAAAAAAAGCTCATTTTAAGTCAAAAAAGATAATTAAATTAGAAAAGATAATTAAATTAGAAAAGATTATTTAGAATGAAAGAAAAGTCAAACAAACAAAGTCCTTCTCATCTCCTCCTATAATAATTCGTTCCAGCTTCAAAACAAACTCATTTTAGATCAAAATAAGGTCATTTTGGATCAAAAAAAGCCCATTTTAACTCCCAAAAAGCCAATTAAACCCTAAAAAGGCGGATTAAAACAAAATAAAACAAAGCACTTCTAACCTCCTTCTATAGTAGTTTGTCTCCGCTTCTTTTTGAGGAAAATATCCCGGGGGAATGTCCACGCAAGCCCCTTTCGAATGGGCATTACATAAAAACAAACTCATTTTAGTTCAAAACAAGGTCATTTTGGATCCAAAAAAGCCCATTTTTTCAGAAAAAAAGCCAATTAAACCCCAAATGAGCGAATTAAAACAAAACAAAAGCAGTGCTTCTAACCTCCTTCTGTAGTAGTTCGTTTCCGCTTCTTGTTGAGGCAAATAGCCCGGGGGAATGTCCACGCAAGCCTCTTTCGAATGGGCCCCGTCAGTGCGCGAGAAAGTGCCCAGGGGACAGGGGACAGGTGTCTCCTCAGGGTGGGGACAGAAGTGGCCGGCGGGGCAGGGGGCGCATGCAGAGGGGTCGTGGCTCGCTGCAGCACGCAAACCCTAAACCCTAAACCCTTTTTTAGGGTTTGGGGGGTGGGGGGTGCGGCGGGCGCTAAACACTCTTTTGGGGGTTCGGCAGCGGAGAGCGCGCGCAGAGGAAAGCGGGGGAGGAGATCGAAGGAGGGGGGAGAGCCAGGGGGGAGGTAAACCCTAAACCCTTTTTTAGGGTTTCGGGCGGGGCGGAAAAGGAGGTGGAGGGGGATAAAGAGGAGGTGGAAAGGGAGACTAAATGGAGATTGAAAAGGAGACAAAAAGGGAGACAAAAGGGACACTGAAAAGGAGACAAAAGGGACAAAAAGGGGACACCAAAATGGAGACTAAAGGGGCAAAAAGGAGAGAGTAAAAAGGGTTTAAAGGGCAAGAAAATAGAAAACAAAAACGGACAAAAGGGACAACAAAAAGGAGACAAAAAGGCCACAAAAAGGAGACAAAAAGCGCCACCAAACGGAGACAAAAAGGAGACAAATAGAAAGACAAAAAGGAGACAAAAAGCAGACAAGTAAGAAGACAAAAAGGAGACAAAAAGGAGCCTAAAAGGCAGATAACAAAGGAGACAAAAGGGGACTAAAAGGGGCCAAAAGGAGACAAAAAGGAGACGAAAAGGGCCACAAAAAGGAGCCAAAAAACGCAAAACAGAGCTGAAAACGCCACCAAAAGACGCCATAAAAGGCTCCAAAAAGGAGACTAAAAGGAGACTAAATGGAGACCGAAAGGAGACCGAAAGAAGACCAAAAAGGAGACCAGAAGACGCCAAAAAAGCCTCCAAAAAGGAGCCTAAAAGGAGACTAAATGGAGACCGAAGGGAGACCAAAAAGGAGACTAAAAGGAGACCAAAAATAGACCAAAAGGAGAGCAAAAGGAGACCAAAAGGAGAGCAAAAGGAGACCAAAAGGAGACCAAAAAGGAGACAAAAGCCCTGGAAAAGGCCTCGAAAGAGCCCCAAAGCCGCGGCTAACCGACGCCCTTGGGCGCCAGACGCAGAGTCCCCAGGGGACACTCCGTGGCCGCCGCGCCAAAGCCTTGGCAAATTTTGTCTCCAACGCAATTTCGAAAACTTGGAGACCCTTGGGGACACTCGGCGCCGCGGGGACAGGCCGCGGCCTGCCCCAGCGACTGCACGCCCGAAGACGCGCTGAAAAAGCCTGCAGCAGCGGCGCAGCAGCAGCAGCAGCAGCAGCAGCAGCGCAGCAGCAGCAGCAGCAGCAGCAGCGCAGCAGCAGCAGCGGCGGCGGCGGCGCGGGAGCGGGGAGGTGGGGGGCGCGAGAAGGGGGAGGGGGACGCAGGTTCGTGGCAGCAGCAGCAGCAGCAGCAGCTGCAGCAGGAGTACTAGCAGCAGCAGCAGCAGCAGCAGCAGCAGCAGCAGCAGGAGTAAGGTGTTCCAAGGCGAAGGAGGGCTTAGGGTTTAGGGTTTAGGGTTTGGCACCTTCATCGATTTTGAGCGGCTCGGGGGCGCCGGGGGGACACATTTCGCCGGGGCCGCAGGAGAGACATTTGCTGCTGCTGCTGCTGCTGCTGCTGCTGCTGCTGCAGTAGCCCAAGGGCCCATAGGGGAAGCAGCCAGTGCCCTGGTTGTAGCGGCCCTTGGGACACAACGCGTCTGCCCGCGGGCCCGTGCTGCAGAAAGGAGACACTTCCAAACAGCTAGCTAGCTAGCTAGCTAGCTAGCTAGCTAGCTAGCTAGCTAGCTAGCTAGCTGGCTAGCGAACTAGCTGGCTAGCTAGCTAGCTGGCTAGCTGGAGTGTGGTTAGCTGGCTGCTCGTGGCTAGCTGTCCCTCTGCAGCCAGCTAGCCACGGCTAGGCAACTGTCTGCGGCCAGCTAGCCACGGCTAGCTAGCTAGCTATCTGTATGCGGGCAGCTAGCCACGGCTAGCTAGCTGGCCAGCCAGCTAGCTAGCTAGCTAGCTAGCTGGGCGCAGCTAGCGGGTCCCACTTCTCTCTGAGACGCAACTCCAACACGGTGACAGCTAGCTAGCTACCTAGCTAGCTACCTAGCTAGCCAGCTAGCCAGCCAGCCAGCTAGCTAGCCAGCTAGCTAGCCAGCTAGCTAGCTAGCTAGCTAGGGAGTCTCACTTTTCTCGGATTTGCAAGTCCAAGACGGAGGCAGGCTCTGGGGGCGCTGGGCTGCAGCGGCCTTCGCCCTCTAGGGAGGTTTCTCCGGGGGGACACCTTTGGGGTTTTTCTCCAAAACACTCAAACCCTAAACCACAAAAAAGGGTTTTGATTCCCTTTTGGGTTCTGTTTTGTTCTTTTGTTCAACTGCAATTCCATTGGCGATCAAAAGGGACGAGAATCCAGATTTTTACATGCATTTTGACCCAAGAAAGCACCAAACCCTAAACCCTAAACTTTGGACCCTAAACCCTAAACCCTAAACCCTAAACCCTAAACCCCAAACCCTGAGGCCCAAACGCGAAACCATAAATCCTGAAGCCCAAGCCCGAAACCCTAAATCCCTAGCCCAAA